TGTGAGTTTTTGCATGCTTAATTTGACAGTACTTAAAAAAAATCACTCAAATTTCGTTAGAAAGTCGTTTATGATCAGAAAACTCCAAAATACTCGGTTTAAAAAATCGAGTTTAAGCGATTTGTTACCTACCAATAAATTAAATATTTTTTTTTATTTTAGTATTTTTATAACCAACATTTTAGTGAGATCAGAATCTATCAACAACTCTGACTTTTTATATTGTGGTTAACAGCCTTCTAAAACATAGTTACAAAGTTATTTCGAACATTTGCATATTAACTTAAAATTGACTTTTATATTAATATWAATACTGGGGTTAGAAATTTTATTGTGCATCACATCGTATTTTTAATTTTACCTAATTAAATGTACCCAGACTTTTTAAACACGAACTCTTTGGTAGTACCTACACCCTTCTTAATCCGTGATATCAATCCACCACGATACGAAATTCATACAAATATTCCGGAATTCTACCTTAAAGTCCGGTAAAAAAATCCCACAAAAAAATTCCAATGTCGTAAGGTCTGCGAATTCAGTATAAGTATACCAACATTTTTCAACTTAAATCWATATAATTAATAGGCACAAAAAAATTAAAATATGGCATTATAATTTTTGTCAATATACATATATAATTATATAATTATAAATTAGGTAAATGTCCATGTTTTATATTAGGTCTAATATGCACTGTATACGACTAAAAGGAGTTGAATTATGATTTTTCAAACTTAAAAATGAAATGTTTTATCATATAAAAGTATGATATTGCGTACCTATATAAACATATAATTAACTTATAAATAAATTTATATATATTTATGAATAAACCGGACTTTTATGACATCGTACTTTTTTCCACGGGACTTTTTTGACCAGACTTTCTGTGGCCGGAATTATGTTCGTAAATTTCTTGATACRGACCACGAATTAAAATAGTATAGACTGGAAATGAACAGATGGTTGGTTGACGGGGAGCCGAGTCGCTTAAAGTAATGAGTAGGCTTGTGTGGGGGGATGAGTTAAGCCTACTCCTAAGTCCTAACCTTGAGCGACCCTACTCCCAGTCACCCACCTGCCAGCTCGTATCGTATCCAATCCATTTGATCTTATTCAAGTACTCGAGTGATGCAGATGATACTCGATAGTTGATAATGAACCTATATATTTATTATACATTTAGCATTATATTATTAATTGATATTATACACAATTTATATTATATTAAGAGGACACCACACCCGCATGTGTTGTCTCCGTCGTACAAGTGCGTAGCATACCAAATTTTACGCTCATCAGATCACGATTATCTTCGTTAATTTAAAATTTAGAGTGAATTGACTTATTATAAAAATTAAAGGCATGATTATTACCGAGGGCATCTCATAGGTTTTTTATTATATTTTAATTTTAAACTGAGTTATGACTATTTTAAAATTGTAAATTATTTTTATATCTAAAAATACTCATAACTCGGTTTACAATTAAAATATAATAAAAAGCCTATGAGATGCCCTCGGTAATAATCATGCCTTTAATTTTTATAATAGGTCAATTCACTCTAAATTTTAAATTAACGGAGATAAACGTGATCTGCTGAGCGTAAAATTTGCTATGCT